CCCCCCCCTTCCCCCCATGCACATCCAGGCCCGCCGCGAGCTGCTGGCCATCTTCCTCGCCGACACGACGGCCGCCCGCGCACGGCTGGCTGACGGGAAGGAGGTGCCCGGCCAGCTGGGGACGCTGGTGGCCGCCACAGACGCCGACGGGCGGCCGTGAGCACCCTGAGCACCGCACACAACCCGCTGCTGCTCCCATCGCCCCCGGGGCCGGCAGACTGAGGGACCGAGGCCAAGAGGGATGCACTGAAGGGATATTTTCGGCGTCAGAGAAGCGGCTGCCACCTACCCTTGGCCCGATGGCAGCAACCCCAGCATGCGCGCGCACGGCGCGCCCCACGCTCACCCATCATCCTCGATGAGCTCGGAGCTCACCCCGGCATCCCGCCCTCAAATTCCCACCCCCCAACAGGCTGCCAGACAACGTCGTGGCAGAGAACCTGCTGGGCTTCATGTTTGCGGGGTGAGCACCCCCTGTCTCTCCCGGGTTAGGCAGCCGCTCGAGCTGCCAAAGCTGCTGGTTGAGCCGCGAAGGCTCAGCCATTGCAGCATACCTTCCAGCCGCCGCAGCACTTGGTTCGTCCCTTGCACGGGGCACGCAGTCTGCTGTTGTCAAGGTGCTATTAACGGTTGCCTGGATGGATGTCCTGAAAACTGCGGTTTGCGGGTTTTTTGAATTGCGGTTTGTCCTTTTGGTTTGACCCCCAACCGTTCGACCCCCAACCCTAAGGCACGCCCGCCCCTGCCACCTGCGACCCGACCCCCTCTGCTCCTGCAGGCACGACACCACCTCCACCTCGCTGACTCAGCTGCTGGCCGTGCTGCAGGAGCACCCGGCGGTCGTCGACAAGCTGCGGGCGGAGCAGGCGGCGCTGGTGGCGAAGCACGGGCCGGGCGTCAGCGGCGCGATGCTGCGGGAGATGGTGTATGCAGATGCGGTTGTCAAGTGAGGGGGCGGGGCGGGGTCGCTCATAATGACATGGGGCAAACCCTTGGGCCGGTGGCGTTGAAAGGCCGGGTAAGCAGCCCGCACGCTCATGCTTGGGCGCAATTGCCTCAGTCGTGGCGTGCCGCATGGAAGACAGACTGAGCTGCGGGCGTGGCCTGGCGGAACGTGCCGCCCGCCTTGCGTTGGAGATGTGCTGCGTTCGTTGTCCGCGCGTTGTTCCGTCACTTAGGGTCTGCCGCCTCAAATGCGTGCGCCGCCAGTGGGTCTCTGAACGTCCGCAACACTTTCCGCAACCCCACCATTGTCATTAGTATGCATTTGCACCACCCTTTGTTACTCGCAGCTCCCGTTTTTGCGTTGCGCGCCCATCACGCTTCACAAACGCCCACCTAACCCCCCCCCCCCCACCCCACCC